ACCATAGGAGCTGATCTAGAAATGGCCCAAAGGGCTATGTGAATTCAGAGATGGGACTGATAACTGTTGAGCCAGGAGGAGTTCATCAATGACTTCACTGAACCCATAGTAGCCATAGAGGTGGTAGATCTTGAAAGATGACTAAGATATTCCAAGTCTCTGAAGAGTGCATGTGTGCTTGTGGGTGAGGGGGGATTTGGAGGGGCGTATGGATGCGAGAAACGTCTAGACAGAAGAACCAGCATGAGCAAAAGTGAAGGCAAAAAGAGCATGGCTCAGAGAAGGCAGATCATCCTCATGTTAGCAAAGGTCAACTGATGAGGAACAAAGGCAGGTACTGAGACTCAAGGGGTCTGTTGTGCTCCTACTATGACATGCTAGGGAACGCAGGAGGCAGATTTTGCTCTGCAGTTGATGGGGCAGCCAACACTGGCTTCGAGATTGAAGTGGGTGAGGTTAACTAGATCAGCTGCTGTTCTGCTGGGTACCTATTACATACCAGGAACTGTACTTTGTTGTTTTATGGATATTATTTTCTAGTCTTCACAACAAATTGGATATATCTTTTCAGGTGGGGAATGTGAAGCTCAGAGAGCTTAAGTAACTTGCTGCTCAAGATTATACATTCTTCCATTAAGCAAGTGGCATGAAAGAGCAATAGGGTTTTAAAATATTAACATCAGGACAAACCATTAAAGAATGGAAATGATGAGATCTGAATGTCAATTAGGAAGTTGAGTTAGGCAGTCATGTTTTAAAAGGAAAGGAGCTTAGGAACACTGAAAGGAGGGAATTTGTGTTCAAAGTGAGGCTGTTAGAGGTTTGAGCAAGATTTCTTAATACAGGTTTATTCTAGAATGACATACATTTTAAGATAATAAACAATGTTGCTTCTGTGTTTTTTTTTTTTCTTGCGTTATGCGGGCCTCTCACTGTTGTGGCCTCTCCCATTTGCGGAGCACAGGCTCCGGACGCGCAGGCTCAGTGGCCATGGCTCACGGGCCCAGCCGCTCCGCGGCATGTGGGATCTTCCCGAAACGGGGCACGAACCCGCGTCTCCTGCATCGGCAGGCGGACTCTCAAGCACTGCGCCACCAGGGAAGCCCTGCTTCTGTGTTTTAAAGTTACTTGATGACTATATTACATAAGAGACAGTGCAGCATAATAATTAAACGCTCAGGCTCTAAGCCAGACTGCCTGGATTTGAATTTTCACCCCAATTTACTGAACCTCAGGCAGGTTATTTAACCTTCCTGGGCCCTAGTTTCCTCATCTTTAAAAAAGGAGATGATAATATTACCTATAGATTTGTTTAAACATGAAATGAAGTATATGTTCATACAAGACAGTGTTTGGTATAAAGTAGGAACTCAGTAAAGCATTAACCAGCAATTGCTTTGTGCCTATGTCCTTATTCACCAACTGTTTGTTTAGAAATTATGTACAGTGTGCCAAGCACTGTGCTTGTTTCCAGGGATGCAAATATAATAGGGAAGAACTTTTGTATCCTATTACAAGTTAATCACTAAAAAGATGCTGTCTATAAGCTTAAATTATACATAATGGCCCATTTCTAGGAACCCTTCTTCCCAGGTAATGAGTGTTAAGCTAAGATACCTTTGTTTAGCTCACAGGAAACATCCTGACTAGGCCCACCTGTGAATGACTGCAGGGAGGAAGAAATGAACACATCTGGCTGACCAGAACCAGGAAACGTTTGACTTTACTGCCTCCCCTTTTAGCATAAAAGAAGCTTGAATTCTAACTCAGGCGCCTAAGATAGTTCTTTGGGACACGAGTCTACCATCTTCTTGGTCTGCCAGCTTTCCAAATAAAGTCATTATTCCTTGTCCCAATAACTTGTCTTTCAATTTATTGGCCTGTTGTGCAGTGAGCAGTAAGAGCTTGGACTTGGTAACACAAAGATGAGGACAACAGATGATTTCTCTTAACAGATGGATTCAGCAGAAGTACTACGACCATATCTTGGTTAAAGCACTTTCTACAACTCTTTGGGCACCAGTGGTTTAAAATATCTATTCATAATGTTGCTTATTAGTTTCAGGACTAATAATTTCACTTCTCCTACCCCCTCCTCCAATATGACATTAAGGTATGTTCAGCCTGAGTTACCTTTTATGATGGGTGTTCCCCTTGACCCACCAGGCAGTATTACGAAGTTAGTGAGATGATTTCAGTAGTCTCTGCTCACTTACGTGTACCAGAAGCTGAGTGTTTGCATCACTGTCTCAGGAGTTTCTTCCTTGCTAATTCATTTGACTTATGTGTAATGTAATATGCATTATTAATGGGTGTATTTCTCTTCCCAAGACTATTTTTTCTGAATATGACTTTATAAAGCCTCATTTCCATAAACTAGAGAGAAATGTGAATGATTAGAATTTTCAGTGTTGTACCAAACTAAGGAAGATGTGAGGACACCAGTTATATAGTGCATTTTAAACCACACCATTAAGCTACACAGCCCTGTGTCTCCCAATTTTAGGTTATGAAGGGGTCCAAGAAATTCTGCTCATGACCTCATTTTCACATTGTCTAAAAGGATTCTCAGTTAGGCATTGCAGGTTTAACACTGACATTGGTTGAACAGATGAAAATTTGTTGGTAGAAGGGACACCATGTCCTTGTGAGTGTACCCACAATACATTAAAATGGACATATGAGCAGTCATCATGACCTCTGAGAAAAGATTGAAAAGAAAAATGTCTACATAAATAAATGAGAAGGAAATGAAAATAGCGAGGCACTCGCGTTTAAAATAACCAAGTGAAGTGCCAAAATGATTAAGTACAAAGCCTCTTTAATATCCAGGAAGCCCTTTAGAGTGAGTGGGATTGTTGGGCAGCGGTGAATTGTTTACCTGTCAAAAAGGGAAGACTTTGGCATCCTCATCACTTTGCTTTCCAATATATTCAGTTTTTATTAAGGGACATGGGAAATGTTCAGACCATAAGGGATATTCAAATAGCAAACAACCATTACTGAAAGACAGTGACCAGATCCATAATAAAATAAATCTGAAGCCTGAGATTTAAATGTGAATGTAGGAATGAGACTGATGCCCTATGAAGTTCTTATATTGGTCATACAGAAGTTTACGAAATGCGAATATTAGAAAAGTCAAACTCATATTTGGTGCATATCTGAGAATTTAAAAAATCTTCCCATTAATTTGATACACAAAACGGGAATATTGACAGACTCTATTAACACTAACAAGTATAGCTTAGAATATGGCTTTAAATATATTAGGTTAGTTTTTTTCAGTGTAAAAATATCCAGCTTTACATTTAACTTAAAATTTTCTTTCCTGAGAATCATTTATTTTCCTTGGGAGAAGCAAGTAATCCCTGTTCACTTTTCTTCCAATAATTCTGGGAGAAATTAATGAAGCACTGATGGGTCGGTTAGGATCTAACCAAGAAAAGAGAAAACAGTCTAAATATTTAAAACAGATGGAATTTAATACAGGAAAATTGTTATATAGATGGTGGAAGAATTGAGAAGCTAAACTAAGGATAGCAAATCAACCTGGAGGTTAGTACCAGCAGGAAGCCACAGACACCACTACCCACAAGTCTCGAGGGACGGAGGGAAGAGGTGACATTACTGGAGCTCAGAGTTCAAGGTCACTGCGGGAAGCCAGAGGCAACAGCGGGTGGGGTCTAGGGGCTGGAAAACCCAGCCTCTAGGGGTCAGCCCCCAAGGAATCAGCAGAATAGGAGCAGGGCAAGGAGCGGATGTGACGTTAAAAACAGGCACAGACCAGCACAGTGGAAAGCTGAGAGTTAAGTAAGTTAAGAAAATAAGTTTTCCATGTTCATTTTCTCCTCCGGAGCAATGTTACACTAGGCAAATTGATTTACTGATATTTTTAAAGGGCGTTAAGTTTAGCTCCTGGGAATTACATTGAACAAATATCTTGTAAATAAATGAAATCACCATTTTAGTTCCACATATGACCTCAATAAACCAAATTTACACACCCTTAAGATGATGAGACAACAATCCACCTTCACTTTGAAGTTAATAAAAGGTAGAAAGGAGTCATCACTGTCTTTTTGGATTAGATTTAGACAGTGGTCAATGTTCTATCAGTTGCATTGTTTTATTCAGAACTGTGAACAGAGGTACATTCTGATGTTCTGGAAATCACCATTCTTTAAAGTAGATAATAAAGCCACACTTTGAAAACAGGACTCAGGAGGAGGTGGAAAAAGCCACACAATTTCCTCAATAAGACCACCACTCAATTCCTCTATTCCTCTCTGTTCTGCTGAGAAATGACAGTGGCATATTGCAGACTAATAGTAAGGCACCAATTTGTACACTTATGTCTTTTGTAGCATGGAAGGGTAATTATGTATGGTGATGTAAAAAATATATATCCATCTGTCTCATGATCAGGAGAACAAAGCTTAGTGTGTGAGCACATGTGCGTGATTAATTGTGCACAGCAGTTTGAAAACCACACCTAACCTAAACCATGCCCTACCTTAAATTAAGCAATATGAGACCTCCCGGCGGGCAGCCTCTGAAAGGTTAGCCTTATCTCACACCCAGACCTGTAATGATTAAACTGTCATTATCACCATTAAATTTTTCTCTCATTTATATCATTAAAACACGGTCTTAGCTCATTTTTGCTTAATACTTTGATATTAAATACTGTTATATATTTAAAAACTCGATGACCTGTAGAATAGAATGAAGCATTACCGCATCTGCTTAATAGAAATCAGCAAGAGACGTCAAGGTCATCTCTGTGTCTTACACCTCATCATTCAAGATGGTTTCTGATAATAAAAATAAATAAACAAAAGGCACAGAAACTAAGTCTTTCACTATGTGGCACCTCATTAAAAGTATAAAATGCTGGTTATATTGAACCCCATTTTCTTTTCATGCAAAGAAGAGAAACACTTTAAGGGGAAATAGTTCAATGTCCATCTTAAGTTTCTTGTCTCAGACTCACTCACCTAAAATTCAATGAAGAAACAGCATGAACTTTTCAAAACCATCTATTTTCTTTTCTTTGAAATGGCAGTCAACTCTGGCATTTAAAGACTTTCCAAGCGTTTCATCCAGGGACTGGTAAATCTCACTTATCTGCAATGAGAAATTACACTTTTATTTAACTAAGCAACTCACACTTACATGTTTATTACAGAAACAGAATGGGCAGATCTAGAACATATGGTGTTTTACAAATCCGTTCATCCACTAAGAACGATTTGTAATACTCAACTCAGAACTTTGGTTTTCATTTACTACAAGAAATGTTGAAAAAATAGACATTTGTGCCAGAAGTTGTTTTACAGAGGAGGATGGTGAGGACCAGAGGGGTAAAGTGACTGTCCAAGATTAAGCAGCTGGTTAGTAACAGAGTAGCCTTGAACCTTGGGCTGCTAACACTGCCTCTTGTTTTTAGTTGATTAAAAACCCAGAAATGGGAAAACCTGGAATCTTCTGTTTTCCAAGTTGGTAATTTTCTGGAATACTGTGTCACCATAATTTCTCCTAAAGCCAAGGAAACTACAGTTGAAGGCAGAATCCTCAGACTGGCATCGCCTCCGATGGTAGATGCAGGTGTAGGCTACCGCAGAGGCACCCTGACATGATTGAATGATCCACACGCTTTATGATGTTGTACAGCAATGACGTAGATAGTAAATAGTTCAGAATATGGTCTGTTGGTGTTTCTTAACAAGGTGGGATGATTTTTATAATCTTTTGCCTTCTGAGAAAACTCACAGATGAGAATGGAAGGAGAGGCTCCAGGTCACACGTGGCAATTTGCCCAAGAGTCCTGCTGCATGAAAGTGACCAGATGCTTTACCCACCATCTCTCATCAGCTAGTCTTTCCCATCTTTCTTTCTTCCCCTTCCCTTCCCCCCTTTCTTCTTTTCACCAACACACAGGCTGGATGTTACTATCCCACGTGCTAGGTGGCTTGAAGCAGCAGAAATGTGAAGTCAGGAAATCCCATGTTCAGAAGAAGGAAGAGAATGGGGGGAAGGGGGATCACAGCAAATAAAGCAGAGAAGATGTCTGATGGCAGTAAAGCCAGAAAAGGAAGGAACAGAGGAGCCTAGCTCTGTACTCTGGCTGGTGGGAGGTGGCCTCTGTCTCCAGACCCACCCTTCGCTTTCCTCTCCCAACTGTCTTCTTCAGCCCAGGTTATCTAAAACAAGGGCATAATTATTTTTAACTTACATGGCTTCAGGCCTCCTAGGCTTTTGGGTTCATAGAGAAAATTCTATACAATAGCTCCCCCCTGCCTCTAATCCAAGTTCTCAGGTATATTCATGATTGCACTGTATTTATTTAACAGGACATAAAGAGATTTTCAGGGCACAATTAACACTTGTTTTCTCACATTAGGACCCAGTAGTCTTTCACTGTACTTAGATTCTAGGGACATGCATACAACTGGCGTTCTTTGAATTAAATGTATTATTACAGCAGTAGCACTTTCAGATATTTTTTGGTTTCTTAACGTACATGCTTACTAATTTTTTTAAAAAATTGGGGTTTGGGTAAATTAGACCTATGCATCTGGGAATAAGTTATATGTTAAAAATATTATCCCTCCCTCATGAATGCAGCTCTCCAAGTCAGAGCAACAGGAAATAAATGGAAATCTTACACCATCTTATATAATTTTATATGACTATATATATGTATATGATAAATCTTACACATACAGATAAACTTACATCCAGCTATATCTGGCAATGTAGAGTCACTCAAGAAATCCCTTAGGCCTGGGCACCTCTTAGGATCAAGCTGCTGCTTATACTCCTCTGCCTGGCAATTTTGGGAAGCACGTTTTGCATTTTTGGTTTTTGCCCAGGTCCCTGGGTCATTCCAGATTGCAATCGACTAGGAGGGTGATGAGCTCAGATAGAGATCCTGTGTGAAAGGACCCACAGGGAGGTTCAGGTTTCATGCCTTAACTGGGATCTGTGACTGCAGTGAAAGTTGCCATTTGGATGATATCTTGATTATGAGCCAGCTTTCGTTTTTGCTATTCCTTCTCAACCAGGAAGTGGCCCCCATCTCAGCCTGTATCTCATAGGCAGCGATCGAAACCAGCTGTCTGGTAGGCAGCTCCATCCCTACCCCTCTTGGCTTCTGTCCCCTGAGACCACTTCAGAGGATGCAGACCATAATTCTTTCTAGTCTTGAGCCTGAGGGTGGCCACCTCACAAACTGTCACTGAATTAAAGGCATCCATCCTCCCCTCTATTCTCCCAGCAGCCCGGTGGACACTTGCAAAGCAAAATTCTCATGTGAACATTGATTAGGAAGAGAAAATGATACTTTTCTCTCTTTAACTTATTTAATTCTACGTCAGCTATCAAATTCTAGTTTGACTGTGTGACTTGAAGTTAAAATTTAGTGTCATGGGATAAAATAAAACTCTGTCTCCTTTCATCTGGCTCCCTGAAGAGCTTTTGGTCAGTGTCTGGATTAGAGCTAGGGGTCAGTACCTTACCACTGAGTACCACAAGAGAAAGAAGTATTTGGTTCATCTGGGGTGCCATTGTTTAGTCCTATAGTTTGGATGGAAGTAGCTGGGGTCGGATTTTTTCTTATTAAGATCATCTCCTCAATGTAGAGCACACAGAAACAGAATGGACCACCAAAACAAGATAGTAATCTTTACACTCATGGTATCAATTTAAATAAAGGCTTGATAATCATTGGTGGTAATGGGACTTGATCAAGCACATACACTCCCAAACGAGGTCATGTGGGAGGAAACCAAATATTAGACTGGAGTGAATATTCACATTTTTATTCACATTCATGTCCTTACTGATCTTCCCACCTAAAACAGTACTCCTCCCTCATTCTCTATTTCTTACCTTCATATATATTCACCCACATAGCACTTCTATTACTTATTATTTATTCATTGTTTGTCACTTCATGCTAGGATATAAGCTCCATGAAGGCAGGAACTTTGTTCACTATTGTACCCCTGAGGCTTGGAATAATGCCTAACAAATAGGCAGTAATATTTATTGCATGAATGAATGAATATACCTCGTGGTCCTCTTTTCTTATAAACATTTGATCCAGTTTCCTCTTTCTTACCCCTATGAGTTTGCCCCATACTGAAAATAATTTCCTCACAATGGGAAAAATTCAAAGGCCTTTATTCACTCCGAAAAAATGTAGTACCCAAGCGAGCATTATGTCTACTTTCCTTGTTAGGCAGAACTAGGATTGGCTAACTGTGAAAAGGAGGATTGAAGATGAGGTTGTCTAGTATCTCTTCTGTAGCCTTTTCTTCTCTTTTAGTTATGCTTGGGAGACTACAGTGTTATGAGTCTGGCTTTCTAGACTTCAGAGGTTAGGATGGAGACCACTTTCAGATCACTGTAGTCATAGGGGGCAGGTTCAGTGATTTGAGGACCAGTTACAGACGATGAAGACCAGAGATCTGCAAAGGGCGCCCCAGAAAAATGCAAAGATGGAGCGTTGCACTGCACTCATAAGCATGCATGTGGGGCTTTTCTGGTATTTTACACTGTCAGTTGGCTTAAGTTGTAGCAGTTATTAAGGGATTTGGCTAAGAATGGTCAAAGTCACTTGGGAAACAATAACTACTTGTGCAGATAATTTCCCAACAACTTAAATAGGTCCTGATTTTTACGAGGGATGCTTTGCTGCCATAGTCACAAATGGCATGCTAGGAACTAGTATCTATAGGATGGATAAACAACAAGGTCCTACTGTATAGCACAGGGAACTATATTCAATATCCTGTGATAAACCATAATGGAAAAGAATATGAAAAGGAATATGTATGTATAACTGAGTCACTTTGCTGTACAGCAGAAATTAACGCAACATTGTAAACCAACTATACTTCAATAAAATTAAAAAACCCAAACCCAGTGGCATGCTAGGGTGTCATGCCAGTGGTGAGGCCGAGCTCAGGACTCTGGCTACCCCTATTCACACACACAGCATCAGTCAGATCCCTAACAACAATGAGGCTGGAGGAAGAGGAAAAACTTAGATCTAAAAGGTCCTTGAAGCACCTTCTGATGTTATAGAAAGGAGGCTGAATAGGATCAGAAGCCTGGGTTTTATTTTTGTCTCTCCCACTAGCTAGCTGGGCAAATCATTTATACTTAACTGGGTTGCCGTTTTCACATTAGTAACATGAGGGCATTGGTTGAGACCAGTGCTTTTCAACCAGGGATGATTTCGTCCCCACCTCCCAGGGACAGTTGGCAATGTATAGAGACATTTCTGATGGTGGAGGGAGGGTAAGTGAGACTGGCATCTAGTAGGTAGAGGCCAGGGATGCTGCTGGACATCCTACAGGCACAGGACAGCTCCCGTCAGAAAAAAATTATCAGTCCTAAGCGACAGCAATGCCAAGGCTAAGAAACACTGGTTAGATGGTTCGAGTCCCCTCAGCCCTAACAGTATTCTCTAATTTTACCACTGGGCTCCTCCAGACCTCAGATGCCACACAAGTTAAGCCTAATTCCTCTCTGGAAGCTGCTCCAACTCTATCTACTGCATCAAACTCCTCCCGCATCTCCCACCTCTACTCTAAGCCCCTCTGTACCCGGACCTTGGTGTCTGCACACCATGCTTTGTGTTCCTTCTCTGTAGCACGTGTTACTATGCACAATTGCTATAAATTTTCTTCTCTGTGTAAGAAGATATGCAACTTGGCAGGGACTGTCTTGTTATTTCTTCATCGTCTTCAGCACATCATCTTTAATGATGAATAATTCTCCTCACTAAATGTTTGCTCAATTGATGGTGGAACAATCAGCAAACATTCTGAAGGTCAGTGTTTTCTCACTCTTTC